TTACATACTCTCATACTTGCTAGTAGTCTCCCTGAATCTTACTTTAGCATCGGAGTATCTTGCAAGTACCCCCTCCCCCACTTCACATCAAACCGTTGCTCGACAAAAAATTTGAAGACCTTGACAGTCCCTTCTGGTCAGGTAGATCACAAACCATCCTAAGAATTTCATAATTAATTTAGTCCGTGAACAACTAAATAGTGATCAGAAATTTAATTTGGATCTGTTAATAATCTGTTTAAAAAATACAACATATGTTGTGATACGGTGGGAGAACTGACTTGAGGGTTTTGCGTTTTATCGCAAATGTTGCGGTTAGCAAGAGTCGCCACCGACTTTTCTTTTATCCAAAAGGAAAGGTGAAAAAGCACAGGAAAGACCTTTGAGATGTTTTCTTGAGTTCGGGGGGTAGATTCTGAAAAGGGAATGTATTAGCACCCTTTTCGTCCATGGTTTTCCATGGGCTCTTAGTTACTTGTTAGATCACTTGTTTTCGTTTGTTTGAAAATGTGTTTGGTGTGGTTTTGAAAGTATTTTGTAAAAGAGGCCATTGTTTAGGCAATCTTTATAATGATTCTCGTTCGTAAGAATGTATACAAAAATGTTTGTCTTTTTGAAAATGTTTTCAATGTTTGTAAGTTGTTTGGAAATGTGTGTGTTTGTTTTTGAAAATAGCAAGAATATTTGTTTGAAAATAGAGCAAGTAACTAGAAGCAATCTACCTACTCAAATGTCTTTATTATGCATTTTCTATTCCTTTGACATTGTTGTCTTACCATTGATTTGGTAAGCAACCCTATCTTTGGATGTAAACGGGACAGGCGAGGGTCATCGTATAACCATGATTAGCAATGTTGCAAAGTATCTTGGCATTTTTTTGCGGGACTAAGATCATTTTATAAGGCAACTTAGAATAGCATCATCGAGGGACTATGATCTTTTGATTTTGTTTGTTTTACCAAGATACTTCGCATGCGTAACATGACTATTTTTTGTATAAGGCAACCAAGTGGAGAAACCCTAAGGGTGTTTGTGTGCAAGTGTGTTTGATTGCATGCATGATTTTATCTTGAATTTAGGATTTTCTATTTCATTGATTTTATCTTGTCATACATATCCTAATCACTAGCATTTACACTTGAAAGCGATAAATTGCGAAAATGTAAAGTCCTATACTATTATAATATTTAGGAGGTGGGGGTACAAATTTATGAATGGGGAGTGCCAGCGAGAAAAATAAAGAAAATAACAAGGGGAAAAAAGAAAGAAAAAAGAAAAGGATCAGCGTGCCGCTGAAAGGAAGTTAGAGGTTCTGACCCTGGCATGCTGCAGAACAGAAACCTGTTAGTGAAAATGTATAGGTCAGAGGTTCTGACCCTGGTACGCTGCAAAACAGAAACCTGTTAGTGAAAAATGTATGAGGTCATAGGTTCTGACCCTGTTGGGAACACAGTAATTTTCAGAAATTTTGATATTACTGATAACAAAATATGCTCCAGAAGCGCTGGCGCCACTGTCAGAACTTGGTCTCCCTCTATGCTAGTCAGAACATCTGCAATTGGGTTATTTCTCCACAAAACAGAAGACATGCCTAAGACAGTTTCAACAAGTGTCATAGGGCTTCAGAAATAAGGGAAATCAGAACCATAAATCAGAGGCAAGTATGCCTTTGTTAATCCTAACTCTGAGTTTTAGTTTCTTCAAGAAAGTTGTGAACTGATTCATTCTCTACTTAAGCATACAAATGCGTGAAAATATCAGAATATGCACAACATCAGAAGCATGATATCTACGTTGTGTTTTTGAGCATGTGAATCTGGTAATGCTTCAGCAAGGCGGTGAGAGTCAGTAGATGCTTACCTTGCAGCTGGAAGAAGTTCTGTGAACTGGAGTTAGCTTCAACTCTGATGATGTTCTGAACAGCTTCTTTGAATAGATGGATGGAGGATATATAATAGTATGGATACAGAAGTTATGGCAGTTTCCAACGTGTGGGTCAGAAACTGTATGGGTGTTTTTTAGTCAAGAAATATTTTGAGAACAAATGGAGTTTGAAAGCAAGGGATCCAAAGTTAATGGTTTTTTGTGCGTTGTGTTTAGAGTTCTTGAAACACTAGGAATTTTGGCAGAGATTCAAGGTATTTTCTTGCTAAAACTTTCTGTCTTTTTTCAGCAATTTTTCTGGACTTGGCTTGGACCTTTTCTCAGTGACCAATGGTGTTCTATTTATAGGTAAAGCTTTTGTGGGTTTTGAAATGTCAAGTGGCGCCAATATCATGCACTAGATGCTGACTTACTCTTGAAGAAAGTTCATAAAAAGTTGTGATGATTGACAGCTTTTAGCCTAGACTGGATTAGTAAGCGAGGATTAAGGAAAAGTGACACCCATAAGCAAAAAGTAGCGCATAGACCCATACCTAAATCTGTACAAACATATTTTTATGCTACACGTGGAGAGACCCTTTGGACAAATACTCAAACGTGGTTGTGAGCATTAATGAGCATTAAATGGTGATGAGATTTGTCAAAATCAGAAATCTTGTAATGGGGGATTTTGCATCATTGCCTAAATCTAGGCCAGAAGTTCCATTTCAACGTAGTCTAGAACAAAGTACCCAAATTCTGATCTTGGTATCTTGCTGCCTTAGCAAGTTCTGAGGGATCCTTAGGCTTTCCAACATATATTTTGAAAGAGCATTCAGATTTCTTATCACGTTTTATAATCTTATGTTCTTACCTTGACAAATTCTGACTGAGCTTGCGTAGCTGCTGGAGAGCCACATTCTGACTGAAGGTTATGTGCTGAGCTAAGTATGCAACTTCTGACTGAAGGTTATGTGCTGAGCTAAGTTTGCAACTTCTGACTGCTCCTGCCTGAAGGTTGGTTCAGAACTTCTGAAGTGTCATTTTTTCCTTAAATACTTAGAAAAATCCCAAGTATTTAGACATTTGGTTTTTCCATAGTAAATTTGACTTTTGAACTTTAGATGGAACAAACTTCCTATTTTAACATATTTTGATGAAATACGATTTTTGAGATTTGATTTTGATCAAGAGGTCAAAGTTTGGCCTTTCAGCTCAAATGACCATTTTGCCCTTGGGAGTGATCTTTATGAAAAATTTATAATTCAAAGCTTAGGATTGGATGGAAGTAAACCCCAGGATCCAGGGTGATTTCTTGAGAAGAAAGAGAGGGTAAATTTTGAGGTACAATATATGTTTTCAGGTAAATTGTAGAGGAACTTTTAAAGTACCTCATTTATCGCACAACTCTGCTAGTTCTTGCGCTTTAGCACCAAAAAGAAACTGAAACAATGGCAAAAATTTCAAACTGAAGCTGTTAAACTAATATTGATAACAAAAATTTCAAACTGAAACTGTAAATCTAACTTTTTATATTATGTAGTTGTTGATTAGGATAAGCAAAAATAACACAGAAAAATAACATGTAAGAAGTGAAAGAATCAAGAAATTGACGAAGACATTTTATCGAATATTTCGTAAGTAAAATTTAACACGAAACAAAGAAGACATTTCATCGAACACTTTGACACCAGATATTTGATGATTTCTAAAAACTTAATTTAAAATAATAAAATTATCAGTGATTTAAAAGCAACTTCTACTATTTAAAAACAAAGCAGTTCTAAAAACGTGTGAAAAGTTTTTGCTTAAAAATCGGCGAGTTTTCTGTGAAGTTGAGACTTCAGAATCTATTGCAAACTTCTAACCGCTAATTCATCGCTTCTTTTCGCATCCACGTAATGTACATCAATATCACTATTCAATTCTGAAAACAAAAAAATATAAAGCTATGAATAAAATAAATTAATTAGCGAAATTAACAAAATGGCAAATTTTGTGTTGTTGTACCTGAATGATGAGATTCGAATTCGGTGAAATGGTGATTTAGGTCTAAAGGTGAAGGGGTGTGAGAGAAAAAGTAGAGGATGAAGAAGCAGAAGAGAGTGAGGATCAGAATGGGGTAGATGAACTTGTGCGGTGTGGGAGAAGGTGAAGAGAGACAGTGAAGTTTCGGTGGTTCGTCGGCAATGAGAGTGAGGATCGGTATGTTGTATATAAATTGGAAAAATAAATAACATTGATGAGATGGGATTGGAAGAAGAGAAATTAGAATTGAAGAATTTACTCGGACTTTATATGTGTCAAACTTGTTAAAGTACTCATCTCCCTTTATTATACTCCTTTAGCTTCTTTTTATTTGTGATAGTTTTGTCAAAATTATCCTTAATCATTTATTATAAAAAGAGAAAAAGTAAGTTAAAATAATAAAAAATTAAAGGTGTTATAGGTAAAAGAAAAATTATTGCTTAAAAAATAACAACAATTATTAATTTTACTGATATATTTAAAAAATAAAAAAATGACAATTAAAAAGGAACAAAGAGTATTTCATAAATTACTTTTGACGTTTGATTCATGATGAATGTTTTGTTAATTGTGTGCAAGTTATAGTATAATATTTTTGACATTGGCTTAAGGATTGCAAGAGTTGACATCTATATGACTAACTAACCATTAAGATTAATCGTCTGATCCACAGATCCAATATCTAGCTGTTAAAACCAAAAAGAAATGCAGCCCCGCCAATGGAAGGAAGAAGAAAATGCCATAACTTTTTACAAATATTTTTGACAACTCATGTAATTGCAACCAGTTCAATCGAAATAATTCACAATTCGGATAAGACTCATGTCAGAATTTACTTCATTCTTTTCTTGGTAATGATTATTTGAGACCCGAAACCTTCAAACTGATAACCATAATACATAACCATTCAGTAGAGATGCTGCTACAAAAACTCCGATTAATGTACAAAATGTAAACATACATGTGTTAAAACAAAGTCATAATGAAAAGATGCTCTCTGCAGAAGAGGGGGGCAAAACAGCAACTTCCCAATCTGCACCTAAAATATGTCTTCATCCAAGTCAAATAAAGCTTATTCAACCATCCCAACAAAAATTAACTAAAATTAACTAGATACGTCGGCTCTTTGGCAGTCTGCAGCCATTATGGGGACGGCGAGTTGTATCTTCAATGTATACAATTGGATTTTTATCCCCTCGGGAATCAGTAAACCCCTCCCTCCAGCTCAATATTGCTTGTCTTTTCCTTCGAAAATGAGTAAATCCATTCACTTTCATGACAACCGATTTTAACCCCAAACCCCTAGCTCTTCGTCCAACCACTTCTGCAGTTGCTTCAGCAGCATACCTAGATAGCTTTTGTCCTGATTTCATGTCTTTCAAGGAACCAGCAGAGCCACTAAGTTTTACGTTTCCTTTAGCATCGGTCACTGTAACAAAGGTATTGTTACGCAGCATCTTTATATGAACAAAATCAGCATCATGCTCATAATGATACTGGTTGTATAGATAACTCCCCATAATACCCTTTTCATCTTCTTCTATAGCCCCTCTTACAAAGTCCATACGCCTGAAATTCCCATCAGTCTCAGCCTTCTCACTTCTGGAGTTCATATTCTCTATATCCCGCAAAAAATCTGGACGAAGACTTGCATTTGAATTTGCATTCACATTCTCATTTTGATTCCTCCCACTCAAACCCCAACTTACACTAGAAAATCTTCTGACATATCCTGCAGTTTCAAGAGTATGAAAATGACCCATGGTTGTTGAGATGGCATAAAAATCTAAAACAAAAATGATACTAGTGTAGTGTCTATTTGATTATGTGGTGGCAAAAATTGACTTTGAACTGATCAGTTTTGTAAAACTGACTTAAGTGTAAAGTGATTTATGTTTACATTCTTGTAAAAGTGAATTGAACAATGAATTTAAGGCTAAAAACAGGTTAGGATGCAAAAGCTCCAAATCAAGTTAGGATTCATTCAAGAGACAAAACTAATCCTACTCATATATGCCCAACCATATCAAAATCAGTTTTCTTTGTTTAGAATCACTTCTGTGTCTCACATAAGTGAATCTAAACATACACAGAGCGATTTAAGCTATCCAGTTGCCTACTGTTTCTATCTCTATCTCTATCAGTATCACTAGCACTCCTTTTTTTTCTTCTCGATTTCAGCCGTTTATAATCTAATTTGATGATAAGATTAATCCACATATATGAATGCGGCGAGCTCAATATTATATCAAACAATTCAGTTAACAAATAAGCACATGCAATTCAAGAACACTCAATTCATATACACAAACAACCAATCCAATCCACGGCTACACCAATCTTCCTACAAAGGGAAAGAAAAAGAAAATAAATTAATTCAACCTAAAAAACTGACCCATAAGATTCCAAAAGATCCTTCATGAAATTGTGAAGATAATCTACGGATACTGAAACTTGATACAGTGATTTAAGGTATAGAGTTCAATATTGTCTATCTATCAGCAACTAGTAACTGCCACACTTTGTCTGTTATCTTGATTTCAGCCATTAAGATCCTATATGTTATGAGAGCTTAATATCGGATCAATCAATTTTAAGAAATTCAGTGTAGAACTAAAGGCACAAGAGCATAGAATTTCATAAAGGCTAAATTCAAATGCACAAAGCAACTAACCAATCATTCTATCTAGAATAAGTAATACATTAATTCAACCCAAAAACATAAAACTAAAGTTCATGAATTGAAAATTCATTGCACCTTATCATTGAAAGGACCCAATCAATAGCATAAAAATCTATGATTTACAGCAACAAAATCATAGAAGTTTTAAATGATATAGTATGAGTTTAAAATAAAAGCAGAGAGAAAGGTTAGAATGTTACCGCGCAAGAAGGTAGTATGAGATGGAAGTGTGGTTTTCGATGCAGCAAGAAGAGACTCACGGGCATGGGAAATGGAAGAACGCAAGTAGCGAAACATCGCCGACACTCGTCACAGATTAGTATGACTTGAGAACCGGTAGTTGAATCAGCAAAAGCAGAACTTAAAATACTGAAACCCTAATCACATAATTGCATCAATCAACCAATACTGAAAACCGAATCACATTAAATCTAATCATGTAAACAACTAGTAATGAAAACATGAAAACAAAAGAAAGTAGAAGAAATCAAAACGCAGAAAACGAATACAGAACGAGAGGAAAGAAGCTTACCAGAACTGGAAGATGCGAAGTAGAGAAGGAGCGGAAGAGAATACGATTGCGAACGAGAACAGACGGAAGAGAAGGACTGACGGCGGACGACGGCGTACGGCGGACGACGGATGGTTTGATTACGATGAGACGGCGGACGAGAAGCGAACGGAGAGTGTGTTATTGTTGGATTGGACCGGTTGGGACTTGGCCATGTTACTGGTTTTTCCTTGAGTTTCCTTTTACACCATCCATTAACCTTTAATATATATTTTTTAGATATTAAATTCAAACAATTCAATTTTTAATTTTTGTATATTACTTTAAGAATTATGAATACAAAAGAAAATCATAAAAATTAGACGTGTGTAAGAATAGAATCTTATAATTAATATTTTATTTATATTTTAAAATTATATAATTCATCAAAATATTACATAAAATAGTCTTTCAAATTTTCAAAAACAAAAATTAATTTTCTACTAAATTATTTTTCAATATCTCTAATTATATATATATAAATCATACAAATTCAAAGTATGTTTCTAAAGTATGTTTCTCAATCCTAGTATATATCTCAAGATTTTCTAAATTCCAAAAAATTTCAAAAATTTATACCATTGTCTTAATAACGAGGATTATCACCTCTTCAAACTTTCAACTATCTTCACAAAATAATAGAGATATTTATTTATTATAGGGAATTTCTTATCTTACCCTATATATTTGAAAGTAACTTTATGAAAATTTAATTTTTACTTTTGTATTTTTGAAAATGTATTTTCGCATTTTTTTTATTAAACTTCAGTTAATCTAATAAATACATTTCATTCTTTTTGAACCACACTTCAATTTTACGACTTCATTAATTTTGAAAAATTATATAATTTATCAAAATATCACATAAAATAGTGTTTCAAATTTTCAAAAACAAAAATTAATTTTCTACTAGAGTCTTTTTCAATATCTCCAATTTTATATACATAAATCACACAAATAAATTTCAAAAAATTCAGAAAATATATACCATTGTCTTGATAACGAGGATTATCACCTCTTCTGAGTTTCAATTATCTTTACAAAGTGATAGAGATATTTATTTATTATAAGGAATTTCTTATCTCACTCTATGTATTTGAAAAGAATCTTATGAAAATTCAATTTTTGTCCGTGCATTCTCGAAAATATATTTTTCAAACACATTTTTTTTGTTAAACTTCAGTTAATCTCATCAATGCATTTTCGAAAACATCTCACACACATACATTTCATTCTTTCTTGAACTATACTTCAATTTTACGACTCCATTAATTTCAAAAATACATTTTTAGAATATTTCAAAAATACATTTCCAATAGTCACCTTGAAATTACAAGAAAATAATAGCAAAATCGCATTCTTTTCATTTTAGTACTACATGCTTATTTATTTATAAATACTAAAATCAAGGGTCAAATGTAGTTTAAGTATTGTTTAAAGATTTCTAAAAAAGAAATTGTGTTAACTAATATAGAATATTTTGTCAGAGTAATAATTATATTACTTTTTATATGTAAAATTAAAAAAAAAATTATACGCAATGAATATAATATTTCTTAAAAAATTAATTGAAAAACAAGTATTGTATAAATTATATGTAAAATTTAAATTTAAACTTATAAAATGTATTTTATGTAAAATTAATTGAAAAAGCAACAATGATTATAATAATGTATTATATGTAAAATTAAAAACAAAATTATGTATTATATGTAATTAATTGAAAAGGAGATCATGAATATATTATATGGAAAATTTAAATTTAAAATTTCTTATAAACAATTAATGTATTACTTTTTATAGAAAAAGAAAGAAAGTATTGTATTCAACTAGGGTGTAGGATAATGCCGAATACTAATTGTATTGTAACTAGTATATTAATATTATTTGGATATGAAAATGTATTTCCAGAGACATTCTATAAATGTATTTCTGGAATAGATAAGTCATAAATTTAGGGTTTAGCTAAAAAATAAATAAAATGTATGTGTGTGAGGTATTTCTGGAAACACATTTTTTAAAACTGTAGGTATTTTTGGAAATTCACGCAGTGCGTTAGAAGATTATAGGGTGCGTTAAGAAATTTCCTTTATTATATCCTAAACCTTAATGTGTCAATATCCAAAACGATTCCAAAAACATGACTCACTAAACTGGTCTGCGAACTAAACACATCAAACCCGAGATCTGCAACTTTCCCGGAACATTGTCATATGATGGACCACCATTATCGACCACCCATCTCCGTCTACTATAGATATGTCGCAACCATTGACCAAACTTAGATCGCCATTGCACAACCAAAATCCGATGGCGGAAACCCACATACTCCACCAATGACTACAAAAAAAATCCTTATAGCTCCGGCACTGTCAAACTTCTACTCGACTTACCGTGCCCCGCCTCGTGGTTCTAGCGCTACCTCTAGTTCCATCTGTTGATTTTCACTAGTCCTCACTTTAACTTTAAAGTGATTGGATATCGATTTACCGGTTCACCTCCTTGATGCCCTCTCCAAGTCGAATCATCATTCAATAACTTTGATCAAATTTTGGTCACGCTTGAACCTGGATCTTTCCCATAGTCACACAGTTTGCAATTTGCTTCGGTTCGTGGTACGAGTTCGGATACACGGTTCGCACCTCTCAGAGAATTTGGTACGTGGGGGTAGGCATAGTTGGTACGTTATTTATGTTCGGGGTACGCTATATCAATTCGTGATACATTCAAATATAATAATCCATATATTATATATATTATAATTAAATAAAAGAAATAAATGATAAAAAACCTTAAAGTCTCACTCTGCACTTCTACCATATAAGAAGATAGTATGTTCTTGAATAGTCAAAATTAACCTTTTTTATTTTTGCCCAATACTTACTTCAGTTTTATTTCTCACGTTTGATATTCATAAGGTCTAAAATCAATAAATGCTCAATAGGCCTATTCAAACTATTGGTGCTTACGATGTCCAACCTTTCAAATTTAGTCACAGATGCAAATGAATTCAAATATATGTGATTACCCATGCGTTTCTATCATTTCTTCTTCTATCTTATAAATAACCCCTAATTAAACAATTCATACATCACAAATCTACTATCGTTTTTTATTCGTCTTTCCTGTGAATTTTTGAAAATCTTTTCTTTTCAATATGATATAACTCATATTCGATTTCCTGTTTTTCTATTTGATTACAGAAATTTCATATTTATGTTTGCGTGCAATGGCGCGACCATACGCGTGTTTCATATTATCTGTCTTCTGACTTTTTCATATAACATCTTTTTGTGTTTCATTGTTTTTCTGTAACAGAAACACGGCAAGGCCGATTTGAGAACATTAAGGATATGTTTTTCCTCTATTTTTTAATAGAAATAAAATGTGAATGAAGTGATGGTATCCACACACGATGCCACTTCGTATGGGGTTGGCAGATCAAAAGGTGCAAACGTGATTCTGCCATAGTTGATAAGTTGTTGAGTTAATTTAATTGTTAGGATTTTGACTGATTTTGTTTTTTTAATCAAATACAAACCAGCGTAAAACTGCAACATCCGTAACAAAATCCTAAAAAATGTAGCTTTCTAAAAGCTATAGTTTTAGATCTGATTACTTCTCTAACTATCTCTTTCTGTTATTTTATTCTTTACTCACTATTAATTTTTTGTTAAGCAGCAAATTCTTTGAAGCAATCATATCTTCTTCCTCAACAAAAAGAATCAAAACGGAAAAGATAACTCAAAACTATTTATTACGAGTAGCTTTATTATGAGAATAAGATCATTTTCTGGTCAAGTTTGTAAGGCATGTGACATCACAAAATTATAATTATATGTAAATCATGTTCATAAAGTATATTTGATCCATTTTTCAAGATTATTTTTGGTTATATGTTGCTAGATTGTACTGCTAAGCTCTTTCACGTGTACCGTTTGTTTTGATTTTATCTTCAAGATATTCTTTGACAATTTGATGTAAAATGTATAAACTTATTTAAAACTATTTGAGAATAAATATGTTAATATTTGCATGATTTTTTCTCTTTAAAACTATTTATATTTAATATACTTTAAATAAATTAAATAGATTAATTTGTAATTGATCTGACCTGATCAGACTTGGACCGTCACGGCTGGCTCCGAGCTGAAAGCTTTTTGAACGAGGTGGGGGGGGGGGGGGTACCTGCAAGGCACTCCGATGCTGAAGTAAGTAGAAGCACGAGCAGGCAATAGTAAGTATGGGTAGAATGATGAATACCTGACCCTCTGGAAACAGAGGGTATTTATAGCCCCCAGCTCTGGGCCAAGGTTCCTCCGTTGGGCCGGGCAGGTTTGGCCCAATGGAGGAACTGCCAGGTTCTACGTGCGTAGTGGGGACCCGCATGTGGTCCCCTTCCTGGATGTTCTGCATGAAGTGAGGGCGGACGAAGACGCGGTCTTTTCGGGGTCTCGTTGGGAGTGCAGTGGACTGAGTCTGCCCTAGTTGGGGGTGCTCGAGGTGATGTCGAGCTGGACAGCACGATGTCGAGCTGGAGATGTAGAGGTCGAGCACGTGACCTCAGGGAGCACATCGGGCACGACTGTGACCCTTTGGTCGGCGTGGTCCTCAGCAAGTCCATTTGGATTGGGCCTTAGAAATGCTATTGGGCCTGTCGGGCCCAGTCCAGAACAGGAGCCCCCCAAGTCGTGGTTCCTTTGTTAGGAGTCATGGCTTGATCTTAGGTCGTTTCCGCTTCGAGGTCTCGCGCCCGGGTCAGAGATGCAGGCCCTCGAGGGCCTCTCCGTGTCGTGCTCGGAGACAAATCTTTCGCGGTGGATGCTCCGAGGATCCTCACCGGCGCGTGTCTGTCGAGCACACGAGGTATCTTTCGGGAACTGTGCTGCCACCCTATGATGATGGGGTCATCATTGCGTTGGGAGCAGTGCATCGAGGAGAGAAACTCCGTGGTTGCCCGAGGTGACGTTTGGTATTCCACGTCACCACTATAAATAGGACCCTTGGGCCCCATAACTCGTTTCTACTCTTTGCGCTCCTACTGCTGCTGTTCTTCCAGATTTTTCATAGCTGCAATCTCTGTTACAGATTCTTTTCCTCCGTAGTCGAATCCACTTCTTGATTCAAGTAAGTGACTTATCTTCTTTATTTTCCTGTTGTAATGCATGATTTTCAGCGTTGTAGACGTTTTTA